TAAGAGGGGCTGCAAAGTGGTGCAGTTGGTAGCACTGTTGCCTCGCAGCAAGAAGGTCGCTGGTTCGCGTCCCGGTGGGGACACCAGCATCTTTCTGCGTGGAGTTCTCTCCGGGTTCTCCGGCTTCCTCTCACAAGTCCAAAAACAACCATCCGTTATCTATACACCGCTTAATCCTCATTAGGGTCATAGGGATGCTGGAGCTTATCCCAGCTGACCCAGGACGAAGACAGGGGACACCCTGGACAGGTCGCCAGTCTATCATAGGGCTACACTTAGAGACAGACAACCAAGCACAATCACATTCACACCAGACGGACAATTTAGAATCACCAATTAACCTCAACATGTTTTTGGACTTTGTGGGAGGAAGCCGGAGAACCCGGAGAGAACCCACGCTGCACGGGGAGAACATGCAAACTCCACGCAGAAAGATCCCGGTGCCCCCACCAGGACACGAACTGGCAACCTTTTTGCTGCGAGGCAACAATGCTACCAACTGCGTCACCTTGCAGCCCGTTCAAAAACATGTTGAGGTTAATTGGTGATTCTAAATTGTCCGTCGGTGTGAATGTGAGTGTGCTTGGTTGTCTGTCTCTAAGTGTAGCCCTGTGAAAGTCTGGCGACCTTGTCCAGGGTGTCCCCTGCCTTCACCCTAAGTCAGCTGGGATAGGCTACAGCTCCCCCGCAACCCTAGTGAGGATTAAGCGGTGTATAAATAATGGATGGATGAATGTTTCTTTAAGCTCAGTGGAATTTTATATATAAGAAAATTTAGAAAAATTGTCACTACCAATTTTCCCTGAGACCAGTTCAGAATCCAAAGAGATTTAGTTTATAATTAAAGAGTGCAGAGAAAACCAGTGAATATTCACACCTGAGAGGATTGATATATATATATATAAACAGCTAAAATGCAAGTAAGTTAAGGTGTCTGAATACCCCTCAGTAATTTCTCTAGAGGTCCTGACTTCCTGGAAATTAATGCTCAAGCAAAGACAGTGAAGCGACAAAAGCAGAGGAGCACTGAGCTATAAAAAATGAGAAAATGCTAAAAGGAAATGATCCTTGTGGGAAAAGAAGTTGTTTCAGCTGTAAAAGTAATAGGACCCAACTGGTCGGATGGACAATAATTCTTTCTTCTGTTTCTATTTTTGTTCTATGTGTTAAACTGAGTATATCTCCCAACATTTTATTGGCAATGTGTATCTGCATTTATCTTTTAATAACTTGTAAGGCCTCCTGTGGTTTAAGTCAGCAGCAATACTTTTGCTCAGAAGACTTGGGTCTGTCTGCCATGCTGGACAACTGTTCACAGGCTTAAGTTTCATTTTCAATCATTGTTTACTTTAAGTTTTTTTGTTTTAACGCTCTGTCTGGCTATGTTTAGACACCAAGACTACTTAGCTAATTTTAGAAAAATGTTTGATGCTTTAGTGTCAGGGTTCCCAGAGAATCTCAGCATTCAATATGTTTGATTATTTAAATTATTTCAAGTCTTCAACAAAAAACATAAAAATTTCTGATTGATGACAAACACTTCAAAGTGTAGGCATTTTGCAGTGTTATTGACAGGATTCCAATGTCATGACTGCTCAGCTCTGAAATCACATCATCTGGGTCTTCTGATTTCTGAATCCAAGCACAAACACCACATTTTGTTCATCATGTTCTTTTCCCTTTAAGTCAGAAATATTCTTCACACCACAAACCTAAAAAAAACAAAAAAAAAAAACCCCACTTTGAACAAAGGTTTGCCTTTGTTGTGAGATTTTGCAGTAAAGGTAGTGCTAGATCAGATGTCAGATTTTTTAATCATATTCCTGTGGATTACAGGCCTAGTATATGCAACAGCTGCTGAAAAAGAGCTGTAACAACTTCAACATTTGCTTTATATTCCATTAAAATATACAGTGCTGTAAGTTTTTGCAAGTACTGTAGGATAAGACTTCAATTTTCTAACATTTTAAGCACCTTGGACTCTACCTGAAGAATAAACACTATTCTTCTAAAAAATATTCCCAATTTAATATTTTCATGATGTTGATAAAGAGCGCTGTTCAACACATTGGCCTGAAAACTCCCACAGGTGTTTTACTGAGTTGACATATAGTGATAATCGAGGTAATAACATATGAAGTCACATGAGTTTAATCAAACTAATTAGTGAGCCCCTGTGTCCTATGGATGATGGCATTGCTATGCTGGAAGAGACCACTACCATCAGGGCAGTACTGCTTCATCATATGGTGATTTCTCACTCAGAAAACCTTTGCCTTGATTTGCAGAGACCCCTCACCCTTAGGGAGCGAGTGAATTCAAAAAACACCAACAAAATTTTGAAGTAGATCAAGGAATTCCAAAGAGTAGAGCTGACATGATAATATCTGTCTTTTTGGACTCCTTCCGAAACCGACCAGAAGAGTATACAATGCATCCAGAAAGTATTCACAGCTCTTCACTTGTACCACATTTTGCTATGTTACAGCCTTATTCTAAAATGGATTAAATTCATTTTTTCCCTCAAAATTCTACACAAAATGCACCATTATGACAACTTGAAAAAAGTTTGAGATTTTTGCAAATTTAATAAAAATAAAAAAACTAAGAAAACATATGTACATAAGTATTCGCAGCCTTTGCTCAATATTTTGTTGATGCACCTTTGGCAGCAATTACAGCCTCAAGTCTTCTTGAATATGATGCCACAAGCTTGGCACACCTATCTTTGGGCAGTTTTGTCCATTCCTCTTTGCAGAACCTCTCAAGCTCCATCAGGTTGGAGGCCATCTTCCGATCTCTCCAGAGATGTTCAATTGGATTCAGGTCTGGGCTCTGGTTGGGCCACTCAAGGACATTCACAGAGTTGTCCTGAAGCCACTCTTTTGATATCTTGGCTGTGTGCTCAGGGTCGTTGTCCTGCTGAAAGATGAATCAGCCCAGTCTGAGGTCCAGAGCACTCTGGAGCAGGTTTTCATCCAGGATGTCTCTGTACATTGCTGCATTCATCTTTCCCTCAATCCTGACTAGTCTCCCAGTTCCTGCCGCTGAAAAACATCCCCACAGCATGATGCTGCCACCACCATGCTTCACTGTAGGAATGGTATTAATGGTGATAGGCGGTGCCTGGTTTCCTCCAAACGTGATGCCTGGCATTCAGGCCAAAGCTTCAATCTTTGTCTCATCAGACCAGAGAATTTTGTTGCCCATGGTCTGAGAGTCCTTCAGGTGGATTTTGACAAACTTTAGGTGGGCTGCCATGTGCCTTTTACGAAGGAGTGGCTTCCGTCTGGCCACTCTACCATAGAGGCCTGATTGATGGATTGCTGCAGAGATGGTTGTCTTTCTGGAAGGTTCTCCTCTCTCCACAGAGGAACGCTGGAGCTCTGACAGAGTGACCATTGGGTTCTTGGTCACCTCTCTGACTAAAGCCCTTCTCCCCCGATCACTCAGTTTAGATGGCCAGCCAGCTCTAGGAAGAGTCCTGGTGGTTCTAAACTTCTTCCATTTACGGATGATGGAGGCCACTGTGCTCATTGGGACCTTTAAAGCATTAAAACATTTTTTGTATCCTTCTCCAGACTTGTGCCTCGAGACAATCCTGTCTCTGAGGTCTACAGACAGTTCTTTTGACTTCATGCTTGCTTTGTGCTCTGACATGCACTGTCAACTGTGGGACCTTATATAGACAGGTGTGTGCCTTTCCAAATCATGTCCAATCAACTGAATTTACCACAGGTGGACTCCAGTTAGGCTGCAGAAACATCTCAAGGATGATCAGTGGAAATGGGATGCACCAGAGCTCAGTTTTGAGCTTCATGGCAAAGGCTGTGAATACTTATGTACATATGATTTCTTAGCTTTTTGTTTTAAATAAATTTGCAAAAATCTCAAAAAAAACTTTTTTCAAGTTGCCCTTATGGTGTATTTTGTGTAGAATTTTGAGGGAAAAAATGAATTTAATCCATTTTAGAATAAGGCTGTAACATAACAAAATGTGGTAAAAGTGAAGCGCTGTGAATACTTTCTGGATGCGCTGTAGCAGCAAGTAGCCAGTACAACTGTTGTACAGTGCCGACTTACAGCCACTGTAAAAGTTTTAACAAGCGTACACACATGCTGGAACTCTTTTACACTCGGAGCCACTGGCTGGTGTTCAAAAAATCTGTTTGCTGGTTGCTTTTAGGGTACAAACAGGAAGAGAAACAAAATGAAAACTTCATAGTCCCTGACTACAGAAGATCAAAAAAAATACTGCATTTTTGTTTTTGTTTTTTTAAAAAAGGAACCATTCTCTATGTGCTGGGAAGCAGCTTGGTTAATAAAATAGGATTTTGAAACTTGAGAAAAGGTACTGGCATGGCCCCAGTCTCATGTGTTTACAGTACTTTAGGATGTAACACTGACATGGCAAGAATAAAATGTGTTTAATACATGAAACCCTTTACCCTATGGTAACAGATTATTACATTCTGTTGAAGCATTTTTTTCACATAATTGTAGCATTTTGGTTTGAAATACTTAACCTTATCTTTGGCTGTGCTGCAGAATCAACACTGTAACTTCACAGTTAGAAACCCTCCAATCTTACTTCAGTCTTGTTTCCATCAGCTAAAGATTGTTGTTTCCAGAAAACGTGCTCTGATAAATCTACTTACTTACTGCTACCTGCTTAGCATTAAACTGAGTATAAAAAAAAATAAATAGTAAATTGGTAGTAGATGATAAAATATCTAGCAGTGAAATTAATGAGCCAAAGAAGTATTGGAATCAAATATAAATCTATAAGGAGTGCAAATATTGGACTTACATTTTTCAGCTGGACAGAAAAATAACTAATGACTTCATATATGACTTTGCCTCTGGAGGTATATATATATAATCTAGAGGCTGAAAATAAATGAATGCATTATGCTTTCTGCAGTATTCTCCAGTTTGGGATAAACAGACAGTTTCTCCTGTTATGATTCTGAGCCAAATGGGTCATGAGATTAATTTACCTGGAAGCCGAGCAGAATGCAGAGGTACCATGGAGGTCTGTCATTCAGGGCGTAAACCAGGTCGACACTTTTGTCCACCGTCTCCTCCAGATTCTCCTCTGTGTGTGATTCCCCAATGTCAACTGTCAGTTGTGGCTGTTCATCACTTTCTTTGCCCTTGGAAATAAGAACAGCAAAGGCAAACTAGTCAGTTACCCAGCATTGTCATTTATTCAATCAACATCGAGAAAAAAAAAAAAAAAACTTTATTAAATGAAATTGGCTTAACTGTACCCAGACTACTTGGACACCAACTCTCAGACCTAAACAATCTGGCATACCAGACGCTCTCACGAAGCCAAGGGTTCCATGATAGTTTTGTTTTTCATTGTCCATGAAAGTGAGGGTAGTTCAGGGAAAGGCTTCCATCTTCACTATCCTCTAAAGCTGCGAGTAAAGTTTTTTTCAAATGAGAAAAAAATACTAGAAAAAGATTATCCAAAGGATTTATTATGACAAGTGGAATGTCTATATAGATGATAATGGAGCATTCCCCAAAATTCTGGTGAGTTTTGAAGATAAACGTGCAAATGTTCAACTACTTTGGTGGTCCTTCTACAAAGCAATCTGACCCTTTACAGACAACTTCATGTTCTTTTTGCTAGACAGAGATTTATGTTGCCCTGTTATCCGTACCCCCCACACCAACCATTTTGTCAATTTCATAGATCACATCATGCGAAATAAGATGTGAGACAAGAGACAGTTTCCTGGGCTGGGGGTCCAACCTATTAAAAGCTGTTGGATTATACTCAAAATAATGATTATACTCAACACACTTTGTTTGCTTACATTTTGTGTTGTTGAACTGTAATAGGAGAGCCTATATTTTGTTGCAGCTGTTGCAGATGGTTAGAGAGACATGAAAGTAAATATTTTTGAATTGAATTTACAATATGTTTCCTTTGCTACGTGTATGTTCAGGTATGTGTGTGTAGAGGGAATGGTAGAAATTGAGGAGACTAAGGTTGAGGGTGTTTTGAATATGCATGGAATTGAATGCTATATATGCATAGCAATTTGAAGGGAATGACTTGTGAACAGTGTTCTGTGTCACATGTAAAAAAAAAATAAATAAAATAAAATAAAAACACACTACAGTGTAAATACTCTCATAAAACACAGCTGTCAAACACCAGAATATTGGCAGCAGATTCTTTGAAAGGTATGGCCACAATGGATTGGGTTTGTTTGGGCACATCCCTTAGATGCTCAATTGAAATGAGGTCTGAAGAATCAACACCTGGGCTCTCTGTCATGTTCCTCAAGTCATTATTGTGCAGTTTTTTTCATGTTGTCGTCCTGCTGCAGGACATCACTGTTGTCAAGGAGTACTGTTGCCAAGGGGGGGACCTGTGAGCTTGGTTTGCAGCAATGTTTAGGTGGGTGGTGTTCTTCAGTGTAATATCCACATGAAAGCCAGGATCCAAGGTTTTCCAGCTGAGCATGCATTGTATCAAAAGGATCAACATTATTCAGTTAATGGGCCAGTTTTAATGTTGTGGCAGATTGGTACATGTTGCTTTAAACATATTCATCCGCCACTGAGGGGTGTACAGGTATGTACTGATGTATGCCGCAATGCGTAAATATATGCCAAAGTTGCTTAATAGAATTTCTAACTAACAGTAAATCCATGTGAAGTTGTGGCAACTATCTAACAAGGTAACTTCCTTCCTCTCACCACTTTCTGTCCATTTATCACCAACATAAGTTTTATGAAGAAACTTGCAACAAGAACCAGGGACCTCCCACACTGACACAACTCTGCATGTCTAATTTTTGACTGTCCCAGAAAAAATTCTCACAAACACAAATTTTTGAAGAGGAACTCTGATTTTACCAGTGGCAAGCTATGCATTTTACTCCTCGGCCTTCAGTGGTGTCCTACTTGAATCAAACCACCTCTTAACACCGTCATTATGATGCCAAGGTGATAGAAACCATCAGTATGATGCAGAAAGGCAGCATAACAGGACATTGCATCGCAGACAGGTATCTCATGTAGCGAGAATGAATGGCATCACAAAAGCAAGAAACCGAGTTAAAACAATTCAAGTCTCCATTAACTGCAGCCACAGCTGCACCATATACGCTGTCAAACATTCCTGGTGAGAACCCTGCACATCTAACAGGAGCATCAATAACAGCCCAATAAAATGACATATATATATAATTTTACAACGTAAGTCAGTAATTCTGATAGAGTTTAGGTCAGCAGAGAATGCCTTGCTGGCCCTGATGGCACACCATTGGATTTTACAAATCACCATCTGTTTTCAGGTCAGGTTTAACGTGTTTCTGTGGTAAAACAAAATGCATAAAGTCCTTTTTGTCTCTTGAGCTACACAAAGTCGGTCAAACTTCTTAAAAGAATGTCACCTTTCACACTTGTATATCAATGAAAAATACAAGGTGTAGCAGTTTAATCTCTAACCAAGCTGTTAGCTGTTAGTTGTAGGTTCCATTGTGGTTAATGCAGACAATGGTTTTACCAAGGAAGAAAAATGCTTGCAATATGGTTTACAATGCAAAAAAAAGTAACTGTCCATTATGAAATTATCTGACGATGTCAAATGAGTGCAACACTGAATCAGTTAAGTATCTATGTACCTACAAATACAGAAAATATACTTTCCATAACCACATAGTGATAAATGTCACTGCATACATACAGTCTCTTCAGAGGCAGTCTTACCACCTCACCTCAGCTTGCTTTGTCTAGGAGTGACTTTGTAAACTGTCACAAATCTATTAAAAATCAAAGTCTCTCATCTACAAAATTATTCAGACCCTTTCCTATAGCTTCAAATTGTAGTCAGATGAATCCTGTTTGTTTTAATAATACTAAGGATGTGTCTAGAACTTGACTGCAGTGGCACACTGAACTGTTTGGACAGAGTTTAGAAAAGCCTGTCTATACAAAATCCTACAATGTACATTGCATGTAAAAGATGAAAAACCAAGCCATTGAAGCCAAGGAACTCTCTGAAGACATCCATGATGAAATGGTGGTGAGGAATTAATCAGGGCAGGAGTATAAATCTAAACTTGATGGTTGCCATGAGTACAGTGGCATCAATAATTATGAACAAGTATGAAAACACCAGGACTCTTCCAATAGTTGATAGTCTACCCAAACAACTAAATGAGAGAAGCTGTCCATGTATGGGTCCATTTCACTATATTATATATTTGCATATATTTATTCAGCTGCAATAGCAGTAGTATGAAAAGTAAACCTTGGTCAAAGAGTTGTGTAAGTACCCACTCGGCCGTATCCAGGTTTAACAAGCTGGACAAATTTACTGAGGTCCTGACCTCTTTGCCCTTGTTTTTAGCTCAGACTGCTGTTCAAATGTCTGGAACATGACACCGACAGCGCCAGAATTTCTGTGCCTATTGGGGTGACATAAATTTGTGGTAATATAAGGCATTTTACAATGAAGTGTCGACTAAATAACTATTTGCGTTGGCAGAGGCAACCTTTACTTGACTCACTTCAGTTTATTAAAGGAACACTGAAACTGGGGATCGTATTTATACTACTTTTAAAAAAAAAAAAATTCTTTTCATTTAAATCATTTTTGTGACATCAAGCACAAGACAAATCATGGAAATGTGTGAAAAATAAATATCAGGTGTGGTCACCATACCTCTGAAGTCACTGGCTCTCAGCCATCCAAAGACAGGTCATTAACATTTCTTCCAAAATTAAAACCTTTTTGAACAAGAACAGAATGCCGGGTATGCCAGACAACACTGTATGGGAGGCTATGAAGGCATTCCTTAGAGGATAAATTATCTCATTGGCAGCCTTTAAAAGACGGTCTGCAATGCAGGCGTAGAGAGCTACATCTGACCAGATTTTGAGTAATGACAGACAGTACGCTCAATCACTGTCACCAGCCCTGTATGAAGAACATTTGAGCTTACAAACCAAACTCAATCTACTTTCTACTCATCAAGACAGAGTTACGTCGATTGCGATCTAGTATCTAGTATCTAGTAGTAATAGTAGATCACATGACATTCAAAAAATAGACGTCAGTCTATCATCCATCCTGTCACTTGATTAATAAACGGGGCAGACAGTCACCGGAAAGATTTAAGTCGGAAACTCCGTTTTCCGATGTAAATGCGTTTATTGCGCCAGCTCAAAAACATGCCTGCCCGCAACAGCGGGAATCCTACATGTGTCACTGACCTTCAACCAGTAAAAGCGCTCTGTTTACCTCTCACAGTGAACAGCGCCATGTTGCTATGACGTCAATCCATCCGTCTCGGTCTGCTTGATGTTGCGCTCGATTGTACTCGGAACTCGGAAAGGTACATGTGTTTCATTACACCAGCTTGGAAACATGCCCGCCCACAGTAAAATGATGTTTGTTTGGATGATTTCTGAGCATCAAAAATTACTGCTGGGGAAATATATCCGAACCGGTCTGCTTGAATCCTTCCCGAATTCCCGAGTTGGAGTCTCGAACTCAACGGCCATTCACTTTTCTGATTCAGAGGTCAGATTTACCGGGGCATCAGAAGACGGCTGAATTTTTCTGACTTTTAGGTCACCGCGTATGCGCAAACAGTGGCGCTAAGTGCAGCAAAATAACAAAAAATTAAAATTAACAAGCTATTCAGCGACTTACTGCCAATTTCAAGCCCTCGCTTTTTTCCTTTCTTGCAAGGTACATCCAGAAGGAATCCAGAAGTGCTGGATTGTTGGTGTTTTACATGGCAGTTTGCAGTTTTCTGTGTTGTTATGTTTTGTTCTGTTGTAACTTGTGAAGCGCTATGTGATGACCTATGTTGTAAATATGCACTATACAAATAAAAATTGAATTGAATTGAACATCATCATACATTGTACATATAAAGAATCCTCAATATATTTGAAAATAGATATATGTTTTGCATTTTTGTAGTGGGTAGATCATTTTGACTTGGTCATTTTATAAGTAGCTCGCATGCTGAAAAAGTGTGGGCACCCCTGCAATAGGGAAAATCTCCAGGCCCAGATGGATTTTCCGTTTATTTTTTCAAAAAAATTTCTGATGACCTTACATCTTTTCTTTTCAAAGGGTCGCTCGATTCTGGTGCACTCCCTCCA